GCCACCCAGGCGCCCCACTTCTGGGTATTTAAACAGAAGAACTGAAATCAGGATCTTGAAGAATTATTAACACTCCTACATTCATTGTAATTATTCCTAATAGCCAGGTTATGGAAACAAATATCTACCAATGGAGGAATGGATAAAGAAGATGTGATATATACACACAAAGTACTATTCAGCCTTAATAAATAGAAATCCTATAATATGTGACAATATGGATGAACCTTGAGGAAATTATGCTGAATGAAATAAACCAGTCACAAGGACAAATAATGCATGATTCCAGTTATAGAGATATCTTAAATAGTCAAACTCAACAGAGGCAGAGGGAAGAACGATGGGATTGGAGGGGGAAACGGGTTGTTAACCAACAGATACAAAGTGTCAGTTCTGGAAGGTACATCCATGCTCTAAAAAGTTGTACCTGGGGCGCCTGGGTGGCTCAGTGGTTAAAGCCTCTGCCTTCAGCTCAGGTCATGATCTCAGGGTCCTGGGATCGAGTCCCACATAGGGCTCTCTGCTCAGCAGGGAGCCTGCCTCCTCCTCTCTCTCTGCCTGCCTCTCTGCCTACTCGTGATCTGTCAAAAAAAAAAAATTAAAAAAAAAAAAAAAAAAAAAAAAAAGTTGTACCTGTAGTTAACTGTTGTACTCTTATAAAATCTGTTAAGGGGGAGATCTCATGTTAAGTGTTTTTATCAAAATAAAAAATTTTTTTAGTGTTGATGATAAAACATTTCTTACTAGTGGCTAATAATTACATGATGCTCTCAATTATAAATTGCTATGGGTTTCAGATGTTTTAAAATGTGAAAGATTGCATTTTAGAATCACTAAAGTATGGTGATTTCACTATAATCTTATTGAGAGTCATCATTTAATGTTTTTCCCTAACCCAGTAAAATATAAAAATGCCTTCTGTATAAATTTTAATTTTTACTTTTGTTATTAATGAGGGATATTTTTCAGTATCTATAGGAATATTATTTTAGCAACTATTAAGATCTTTAGTACTGAAACTGAAGGTGAGATTGTAGTTTCTCATTCAAGTTTACCAAGTTTTTCTTCAAGGGAACCACTTAATGTAAGTATTACTTGATTTTGTTAAAGTGTAATTACTTTCTGAAACTGGCATTTATGACTGGTGTAAAGCAGTCATTCTTGAATTTGTTTATTAGAATCACCAGGGAGCCTGTTGGAGTTTGAGTAATTTAGTGTGGCGTGGGGTACAGGCATTTGTATTCATAACAAATACCCCAGGTGATCCCCGTGCTTGTGGACCACGGTGAGGATGTACAAAAGGTTGAGATAGAGCTATAGGTTTTCTCTTTGGTGATAGTGGCTGGAAATTTACAGAAGTTGAATACATGATTAGAAAGCCATGGAAACTTGTTGATAAACAGCTTTTGGTGTTAGGAAGTGAGGCTGTATGTTAAATGTAAAGGGTCTGGCATGTCTAGGTTCTTTTTCTTTATTATTACTATTTTTTTAAGATTTAGGGGTACGTGGGTGGCTCATTCAGTTAAGCATCTGTCTGCCTTTGGCTCAGGTCATGATCTTGGGGTCCTGGGATTGAGTCCCACATCTGGCTTCCTCCTCAGTGGGGAATCTGCTTTTCCCCTCTTCCTCTTTCTCTGCCCTCTGCTTGTGCTCTCTCTTTTGCTTTCTCTCAAATAAATTAATATTAAAAAAAAATAGAAGATTTTGTTTACTCATTTGAGTTAGAGAGAGCATGAGCATGGGGGAGAGGCAGAGGGAGAGGGAGAAGCAGGCTCCCTGCTGAGCCAGGAGTCTGCCAGGGGGTTAGATTCTAGGACCTAGAGATTATGACCTAAGCTGAAGGCAGATGCTTAACCATCTGAGCAACCCAGGCAACCCTTTTTTGTTTGTTTGTTTTAAAAATTTTATTTATTTGAGAGAGCGAGAGAGAGAGAGGACAGCAAGCACGAGTGGGTGGCATGTTTAAGTTCTTGAGGAGAATTACATGGCAAGTTGGGGTTGTTGAATGTTACATGTAATTCTATCTTCTGTAACACTGTGAAAAAAAGAAAAATGGAGATTTCTGTTGAGGTGATTCTTTTATGGGTAATTGCTTCATTTCAAGACTTTCTCAGTACCACTTTTATCTAGTGTAGACCAAGATTAGGCTAAAACAAGGTGCAGTCGATTAAGTGGAGTATAAGCTCCATGAAGGAGATGGTGTTCTTCTGTCAGTAGTCTCTCAAACAGTGCTTGGCACATGGTAGACTTCTGGTAATAGGCTGAATGCATGAATATGCACTACAGTGTATGTATCAAGGACTCTTCGGGGAGGAACAGTTTGCTTTGAATCCCTTAAAATTACCTATGAAAAGCTGTTGCAATTGATTTTACATAGAATTTATATTAAACCTGTGGATTTTTAGGGGTGCCTGGATGGCTCAGTCGTTAGGCCCTGCCTTTGGCTCAGGTCATGATCCTAGGGTCCTGGAATCGAGTTCTGCATTGGGTTCCCTGCTTGGTGGGGAGCCTACTTCTCCCACTCTCACTCCCCCTGCTTGTGTTCCCTCTCTTGCTGTGTCTCTTTCTGTCAAATAAATAAATAAAATCTTTAAAAAACCCTTTTAATTGAAGTTCATTTATCATTAAAATCATGGGAGAAGCGGATGCCCTGCTGAGCAGGGAACCAGAGTCAGGGCTCCATCCCAGGACCCTGAGATGAGATATGTCCTGAGCCGATAAAGACTGAGCCACCCAGCTGCCCCTATTGTTTGGATTCTTTGCCTGTAAATTACATTTTAAATTTATAATTGCTATTACAAATAGTGCTTTTGTAGTAAAAGCATTTTTATTTTCTTTTTAGGAGTTAACAGAGCAGTTTCATCAAGTTGAATCCCAGTTGAATAAGCTAAATCATCTTCTTACTGATATTCTTGCTGATGTGAAGACAAAGAGAAAAATTTTGGCATCTAATAAACTGCATCAAATGGAAAGAGAATTATATGTATATTTTTTAAAAGATGAAGATTATCTGAAAGATATCGTGGAGAATTTAGAAAACCAGTCAAAGATTAAGGCTGTTGGTCTCGAAGATTGAAAATTACTAAAAACTGAATCTTTACTAAATATGCTATGTTTTAATGTTTTATATATTAGGAAAATAGATCTAATAAACCCTATTAATATTTTAAATTTGAGGCCAGTGGAATATTTCATTTAATTCAAGTATCACATTGGTTTGTTTTTTTCTGTGTATAGTATGTTCGAAGTACCAATGCTTTTTTTTTTTTTTTTTTAAACCAATACTTTTTTCAATTGAACATTTGCTTGGTGGCATTGAGTTCTGGTAACTTTCTACTTACAGGGAAAGAATATTGTTATGTAATGTAAATATTTCTTAATAGAATTAGTTCTCTCTCTCCTTTACTATTTTTTTAGAAATGGAAATTTTCTACTGTTAAATATTTTAAACCTTTGCAGAACTTAGAATCAGCATTGTTAAACCTGTGGACCTTAATATATGGAATAGCCAATTCCCCTCGTATTTGGTTATAAAGTAAAACTCAGCCACTCAAACTGTAATTCCTGTAATTCCCTGCTGTAGACTTTGAGACTCTCTGCTCCTGTTTGTGCCCTGTGTCCTGTGCCCCAGGACCCAGCTACTAAAATGAACAATGGTCATTGTTCATTTTAGTAGCTGGGTCCTGGGGGCTCAGAATTTCTACAGGACAGATCTTAATGGTACTTGGAGTTCCATGTGACTTACACATTTTGGAAATACCGTACAAGTGGTTTCTCGGAGGATGTATAATGCTATTTTAATCAGTTTCTCTGGAGTGAAAATACTTAAGTCTTAGATTGTATTAGTTGGGATACAGATATATTATTTGGACAAATAGAAATTATTTTGAGTGGTATGAAATCATTTGAAGTAGCTTATTTATCCATTATAACATCAAATGCTTCTTGAGTGCTTGATTTATATGTGGCCTGTGATACATACAACACAAGATTTATAGAGGAACAAGAAGCTAGAGTATTACCTTCAAGAATATTCCTAAAAAAAAAAAAAAAAAAGAATATTCCTGCTCCAGAATATATTGCCTTTTTAATATGGAATGCCAGTCTAAAGGCTATGCATTTTAGGTGGTATTTGTGGAATTCTTTAATTATATCCATCAGAACATGGGTACACTTAGGTGACAGATAAGTCTTGATAATTTCTATAATCTGTTGAACAAAAATATCTTGCCAATTATAGTATTTTTACATTATTGAAAAATTTATTTATTAAATTAAATATGCATGAAAAATTTATAACAAATGTTGTCTAAGATTTTGGTATTAGCTCCTTATGGGCGACTTGTTCCTTTTTAAATTTTTTTCCTATTCTAGAGTGGAATAGAGAATTTATTTCAAATTTTTCTTTTCTCCAGTAATGTGGAAAAATATGTCACCTGGTTTCCTGGCTCATGAAAGCAAATTCTGTTCAGATTTGTGCCATATAGGATAGATGTATGACCAGCTACTTGATGATTTGTACTGTCTCTTCCAGACCTTTACAGGCCCAGCCCAGGGGCCAGTAGAGCTGAGTAGTATGCACAAGATGATGTCAGGTTGTGTGTCTATCAGATAAATTACCCAAGTCCATTAAATATTTTTATTTAATTAAATTTGATTAAAAATTAAAATAATTTTTCTGTAATTAGATTTGTATATTTGAAGATTATTAACAGCCATTGGCTTCAGACCTCAGGAAGTAACATGAATAGGTTGCTTACTTCAAAATTGTTTGACTAGAAAATGTATTCTTTGCTCCCTGTTTACCAGGATATTCCAGGTGAGCCTCTGTCTTGCTCCATTCTTACTTTTGTATCATTGATTATGGAGGCAACTGCTACCTATTTTCCATGGTCATTATTAGAGTAATTTGTATGAATGCCTCTGGCTGTAATGTGCTGCTTACTTTGAAGTCTCAAAATTAATATGTGGATGTTATGTTTATCTTATGTTTAGGATTTATGAAAATGGAAAATTATGAGGCATTTGTAGGCTTTGATCTCTGTGAGATACCACTCTCCAGTGTTGCACAGAAGATCATGTCTGCTATACATTCAGGTGATTTAGTGGAGTCTCAGAATTGGAGAGAGAATGAAAAGAGTGAGTAATTTTTCTAATCATCTTTCTATCTTTTGTTACCTTGAATGTTAATTATTTCTTAAGATTTGAAAAGGAAACAGCAGAATTGTTCTCAGGAACCTTCTATTGTGTAGGGAGGTTTTTGCTACAGACAAATGGAGCCTGGGTCTTGGTTTATTCTCATTCCATTATGACTGAGCATCTCACTAGAGTGCACATTCTCTCGGCCCTTACTGCTTTAAAATGGAAACACTGTCTTCCTTATCCCAGACATTTCTGTCGGACATTTCCTGAGAATCCGAGTCAGCTGTTTCAGTAACCTCAGAAGAGCTAGTCTCTTTCACAGTGCACCTTGCTTCGGCCTTAGCTCTCCGGTCATTGGACACACGTGGACATAGTACTTCCTTGCTGTGTGTGGCGGATGGGAGAAGGGGGTTTGACTGTATGTCTTACGCTGCCCGAGGGCTATGAGCTCTCAGGTGTGTGTGTTTATGATGTGATGTCACATAGCAGTGGCGTGGGTGCGCAAGTGTGACTGAGACTTTCGGAACACCAGTTCTTTGTTTTACTTGCAAAGCAGTTTGTTGTTGCTTGTGTCTTAATATTTAAGTCTGGGCCAATAATTTGTCGTTTCTTTTCTGTGTAGTAAGTTATACGTGAGATATAATTGAGTGATTGTGACAAAGTCATTGAGAGCGTTGACAAATAGTGCAAAAGCTATGTAAGTGTAGTTTCTTGATTAAGATATAGTAGCACCGAACATTGCGGTCTGTTCGTATTCAGGCATCTGTTGCTCATGAGCCTCATAATAGAAGGTCATTGGTAAATGAGCTAGGAAGTTTTGGGTATGGAACACATACCTAGCAGTTGATAATGTTTTGGGGGATGGGGATGTGGGTAGTAAAGAAGATATTTAAACGTCGAAGAGTTTTTTCCTTTATTCTGTATACTTTCTAAAATAGCAGTGGGCACTTGACAGAGGTGGAAATGTACTTCCCTTTAAAAACTGATAGGAATAAAAAAGAAATAGTGATAGGAATAATGAAATGCCTCTGGTAGCTTTAGTGTGAGTCTCACTTGAGAAAGATTTAGGGCCGTTAGCCCATCTTGTGAACTCTCTTGTGATGCTCTTCAAATACCCTATAAAATTGTGTAGTTTTCACAAATTTATTGAGAGGTAATGGGAAAAGATACTATTTTTCTTTTAAGTGTTACTGCATTTGGAAAAATCGCATACATTTCACAAAGATTCTGTATTGTCTATTGCTGAACAACACTGTTACTACAAACTTAGTGATATAAAAGAAGGCATATTTGTTATCTCCCAGTTTCTGTGGGTCAGGAGCCTGGGCATAACTTGGCTTCATCCTCTGCTGGGCTAGAATGCGGACATATCCGCAAGAGCTCAGGTCTTATCTGAAGCCCAAATGGAGGTCATTTGCTTCCAGTTCACAAGGTTGTTGGCAGATTCAGTTCCTTATAGGCTCCTGGGCTGAGAGCCTCTGTTCTCCCCAGCTCTTCACTGTAACCCACCCTCCATTCCTTTCCACGTTGTTCTCCTGAGGCTCAGCTTTACTGACAGCAGCTTGCTTTTTCTCTGGCGAGACTGACATCACAGTCTTCTGCGACGTGATTGTGAACTTCCTGTCACAGGTGCTGTACTCTGTGGGTGATGAGTAAGCCAGGAAGTCCCACCTGCACTCAAGGGTGTGAGTACTAGGGGGCAGGGGTCATGGGACCACCCTGGAATCCATCTGCTACAGACTTCTCACCAGTTTTAGTTCTTACTTCATGTGGATTTGGTTAAGTTGGGTTGCTGGTGGGTTGTTGATGCATGATGCTGGACCTGAGATCTAGTTGCTTCTTGGACTCTAGTCACAGGCTGAGCTGTAATTGTGTCACACCCTTATCTCTTTTTTAATTTAATTTAACTTTATTTATTTGAAAGAGAGACAGAGATAATGACAGATAGCGAGAGAGCACGAGCAGGAAGGAGCTGGAGCAGGGAGCCCAACATGGGCTCCGTTCCAGGGCTTCAGGGACCATGACCTGAGCTGAAGGCAGATGCTCAGCCCACTGAGCCACCCAGGCACCCCGACCCTTACCTCTTAAAAGGAGAATACTATAAATCTGCATTTCATTTCTAAAGCCCATTTTGTACTAAATAAATATAAAAATCGAACTCCTAATTCAATGAGAGTAACTACAGATATTTGTTATTACAAACGAGTAAAACCAAACATTAGTGTTATAGGTCACTTCAGGGTTTACGTGTCTTACGTGCTGGGCTGAGGGATGTCAAGATGCACACCCAGTAAGGGTTGGACTGTGTATGTCTTCTTGCTGCAAGATTGATCTTTTTTTTTTTTTTTTTTTTTTTAAGATTTCATTTATTTATTTGTCAGAGAGAGAGGCAGGCAGAGCGGCAGCAGAGGCAGAGGGAGAAGCAGGCTCCCTGCCTAGCAAGGAGCCCGACTCGGGACTCTATCCCAGGACGCTGGGACCACAACCCGAGCTGAAGGCAGCTGCCCAACCGACTGAGCCACCCAGGTGTCCCAGAGTGATCTTTATTTAAAAACCCTCTGCTATGGGGCACCTGGGTGGCTCAGTCATTAAGCATCTGCTTTCAACTCGGGTCATGATACCCGGGTCCTGGGATCTGACCCCATGGTGGGCTCCCTGCTCGGCGGGAAGCCTGCTTCTCCCTCTCCCTCCGCTTGTGTTCCCTCTCTCGCTGTTTCTCTGTCAAATAAATAAAATCTTTTATGAATACATACATACTTACCTATTCTCTGCTGTGAAAACACAAAATATGCAAAAACTTAAACTATAGTTTAACGAATGAAGATAAAGAGGATTTCCAATGTCCTTGCATCCAGAACCTCGAAGTTTCTTTCTCCGTGAGAACTCCCTCCCTGCTCAAGGTAGGCATCGTCCTGACCTGTGGCCGTCTCTTCCACTTCCTGACCACAGGCATTTTATGTTGCTCCAGAGTACTTCTGGGGCAGAGATTACTTGTACTCCATGCCAGCATTTGTCCTGCCCCTCAGACTACATGCTCTGTCTCCTTGCCATCGGGTGTGACCTGCGTGCCTCTTAGTGGGATGCGTGCTCAGGTCGTATGTGTCATGTCCAGGGCAGGACTCTGTCCTGACCTCCAGTAGGAACCCTTCTTTTGAACTCTGCACTTGAAGCCGTGTCCTGGAGGATTGCACAACGTGTCGGAAGCACCCCAGTCCTGGAGAGGCTGCATGAAGCATGTCCAGCCAGCTGAGAATACTCCCCTCAGAACATGAAAGAGAAATAAACTTTGTTCTTCCAGCCGTTGTCCTGTTGGGTCTTTTGTGACTGTGGCTTAGCTTTGTACTTCAATCCATGCACCTTTAAACTACATTGAAAAATGGGTTCATCTCACTTAAATTTTTGTTGTCATTTGATGGGTCAGTAATGCTGTTGAAAGCTTTTGGTAATTATGAGGGAGGAGTTGTTTGCAGGGCGGCTCAGGGTTACCAGCTGACCCGCGGTCATGTCCAGCGCTATATGGAGGAGTCATCACGTGTTATTAGAAGATGTCTCTGCTTTGTCTGAGTAGCTATAGAAATCAAATAATGTTTTCTGGTACAATTGTTTTTTATTTTAATAGCTTAGATGTGAATTTGGTTTTCCAGTAAAAAAAAATACATATATATATATGTGTGTGTGTGTGTATGTGTATATATATTTATATACATGTGTTTATAATATGTACATATGTGTATGTGTATTTTTTTTAAGATTTTATTTATTTATTTGACAGAGAGATCACAAGTAGGCAGAGAGTCAGGCAGAGAGAGAGAGGGAAGCAGGCTCTCTGCTCAACAGGGATGCTGAGGCAGATGGGGGGCTCGATCCCAGGACCCTGAGATCATGACCTGAGCTGAAAGCAGCAGCTTAATCCACTGAGCCACCCAGGCGCCCCATGTGTGTGTGTATATTTTTACAGACATTACAAAGTAATATAGTTTGAGACCCCAAAGGAAAATATTCGTGAAAATCCAGTTCATTAATGTGAAGGGTGTCTTTATCCCACCATCCAATAGAAATCCTTGAGATTTCAAGGACAGATAACATAAAATTAAATGACTAAACAGATCTGTCTCGATTATGTTCATTATAGTCAAGAGTATAATGGATAAACATGTTGTATTATTTTTATTTCTATTAAATAAACATAAAATCCTTATGTCCAGTCACTTGGCAAGCCCCGCCAGGTGTTGGATTTCAATCCCTACTGCCCTCGTACAAGCCTGCCTTCCTCCTCACTCGGATTTTGGCAGTGGCTTCCTCATTGCTGTTCACCTTCATTATTGCCCCTTGTCTTGCCCTCATGCCTTTGCTAGAACTAGCTCAGCTCTGTCCCTGCCCTCTGCAGAATTCACCTACAGAAACATCCCATGTACTCAGAGAGATCCCGGCTTGCCCTGTTCAGTCTTTTTTTTTTTCCCCCAGTCTTCTGCCCCACCACCTCCCTCTCTTACTCTATATCCCATTCAGATTTGGCTGCAACCTCCAAACATGACATTTTCCAGTATCATCCTCTACTTACCCTTTTCTTTCTCTTTAATTCAGTTGAGTGGTGAGAGCAGCATTTTACAAGGTCCTGCTTAAAATACTTTTTGTGGGGTACCTGGGTGGCTCAGATAAGTGTGTGCCTTTGGCTCAGGTCATCATCTCAGGGTCTTGGAAAAGAGTGCCATGTTGGGCTCCTGGCTCAGTTCTCCCTCTCCCCGCCCACCCTGTTCCTGCTCTCTCTCAACTTTTTTTTTAAAGACTTATTTGAGAGAGAAAGCATGAGTGGGGGGAAGGGCAGGGGGAGAGGAAGCAGACCCTCCCATCCCCTGCTGAGTGTTGGACTGAATATGGGGCTCCATCTCAGGACCCCGAGAACATGACCTGAGCCTAAATCAAGAGTTGGGTGCCCCGCCGACTGAGTCACCCAGGCCTGTTGCTCAGAACACTGCCACCAGCATGCTTTTTTAATG